AATGTATTATGACTTATAACATGCATTCAGAAAAAGCTTGTACTTTAAAAATCTTCAAAAGGCTTTCTACTGATACTTGTTCTCTTTATAAAAATAGTTCTTCATACACATCTGAAAACTAGTAGTTATTTGGAGTATCTGAATGTTTGACCACACAGCCTAAGAGTTTAGGGGCATGATTTTTAAATTTTTCTAAAAAGCCATCAAGCACCTGACTGTCACTGGGAAATTTGTGGTAAATGTATTTGGAAATAACACAGTGTCACAGGTTTCTGCAATCTGGAAAAAGCTTTAGTGTACTCAGTTTGATGGTGTAACTTGTTTTTCCTAAGCTATGATGGTGTTTTGTGTGACAGATACAAGCTGTTTAATTATTGTAGAATATCATATTGTTTTAGATTGTGTTTTAGATTGACAATTTTATATTTTTAAATGTGAACACTATTTAAAAAAACCCCACAAAAAACAAAACAGCAGCATTGCACTGGCATACCTTACTGTTGTTGGCTTAAGCCAAAACTCATAACTGGTTGCCTCTCCTAATGGTAAGGAGCATATCTGAATTACACAAGTTTATTCTGTTCATGTTGGCTTTAGAGTGGTGCAGAGGTTTGTTCTCTAGATGAAGTCTCTGTGCTGAGGTTCATAGTAGAAGAACTATAAATATTGATGATATGAATAATGTTGTTTTGGATAAATGGAGGGAGGAAGGAAGAAAAACTTGTTGCTGTTGTCTGTAGCTGCAGTTGCAGCTCTTAATATAACTTAATAGTTTACTAGTGGGATAGTGTGTGAAGTCAGATGGAGCTCAGACTAGGAAATAACAGGGTGATTCACTTTTCCAAAGCAACTTTGCTTTTCTTTTACTTTTAAACAACTCTTAATTGTAAAAGAACAGAGTAATGTAATTAGAAAATTGTTGTTGCTAACGATAACTTTTCCCCCTGCTTAATTTTTTTTTGTTGTACTTCAGTTAATGCATTACAAAAACACTTCAGTTAAGTAGGGAATGTTTTAAAACAAAGATTTTTTTAACATTTATTGCCATTTGACTTTCTCTTTTGACCGCAGGAACAAAAGGACACTTGTTTTCCTATTCTTACTTGGCCAGAATACAAATCAAAATAGTAAAATAACTACTGCATTTGAAGGGTGGCAGCTTTAATAAATCAGTTAAATACTTCAGAGTTCATAATTCTTCCTCTTTTCAGTATGGAGAATTTTTTATGAACACTTTAATGCTTTACCTTGAGTATTGCCTTGAAGGCTTGAGACAACGTGCAGCACTGTTCTGTTTATAGTAGCTGCAGAAAATTACTGATTTCCTCCATAAATCACTGGAAATGATTAGAAGTATGCATTTTTCAGCAAAAATAGCATCACACTGTATTACTGTCTTGGCTTTTTTTTTTTTTTTTTTTTTTTTTTTTTTTTTTTTTTTAAAGAATGCTGTTTGAGTGCTACAAACAAATGAATAGTTGTTATTACGGATTGTTATTAAAATCATTTAGATGTTGCTTTAGAGTGGTATGTTTTCCTGGCTCCAAAGGATCTGTCACCATATTCCAGCTTAATAAATCACTGAAATAGCATTGACTTATAGCTATGTGAAAGTTTAAAATTTGATGAAGTAACAATTTATTGTACAAGGCTACTAGTGGCACTGATTCTGCATATTTTAATGTAAGTATAGATTATTCATTCAAACAAAGCTGAATGAAAATGGTGACAGTGCACTGTTGGTGATGTTGCTGCAGAAAGGTCCCTTTAAGAAATAAACCCCATATCCTATGGCTGAATGCATGCCTCTTCTCTCCATGCACCATCTCCCAAACAGATTAATCAAACCTATCAAAATTTAACTTTATGAGACCACAGCTACAGTTTGTAGTTCAAAAGGAATTTAGAACTGCTATGAATGACCTTGATAATTGACACTATCTATAGTTTGAACTTCTATGAACTCAACTTGGTAGTGTTACTCTGAAGGGCATGGCTCTAGCCTTACTCAGTTTTGAATTTTTGAAGTATAACCAACTTTGGTCTTTCATGTGATGTGGAAAATTATGGCACTTTTTTCCAAGGCAATAATGAAGTTTGAAAGCTTGGTATTTGTGACACATAGAAGTACAGAACAGAACTATAAACATGTAGCAAATGGACAGATATTTCATCATACACACCCATCATAGAAATACCAAAAATCCAATACCTCCCTCAAACAGTGCATCTGACAGTGGGTGTGTTGCATTTTTATGTTCTCATGCTTTATAGCTAATCCATTTGCAAACGGGTAGGCATGAGGAGTAAGGGAGCCAAGCAGTCAGGCTCTCTTCCCTGCTATGTTATCAGACCAAGTGGTGCTTTTTGAGCAACCATGTCTCTTGTGGCTGGGAGTCAGGTTTGGGAGTTCTGGTTGAAGTTAGCAGCTCTGTTTCAGAAAGAAGAACTGGGTTGTTGGTGGACAGTTTCTTTAGAGAACTTGCAGCAGGATTTCTTGCAATCCTTTGCGTGGCTTTGGGATTTCCTAAGGCTACATGTTTGTTGGGAATGTCAGCTTTACCACCACACTGTGGGGATGTTTCTTCTCAAATGTTTATACTATCCCGCTGCAATGTGAGCCCTTTCTCCTCTGTGTTATGGTCACAATACACTTGCATCACTTGTGTTAGGTTTCTCATTCCTTTTCCTTCCTTCTGAAAAACTACTCCATATACTTCTGGAGTTCTAGGAACAGTAATAGAAAGAACACTATTACTCATCCTCTTGGTCTATTTTTCCTTGTTTCTTCATCTACTTAGTACTTTCTTCCACTCCTCTTTATTAACAGAGAGTAGCTGTGGGGAAAAGGGAGTCCCCTTCTAAAGGTTGTGAACACTCAGGTGGGACATAATCTAGTTCTTGAATCCAGGAGTTCTGCAGAAGGATGTTGTAACTGGCCATATCACAGGAAGAGAACAAAGATATTTTGCATTTGGAATTGCTTTTACAGCCTTCTCTGAATGTGTCAATATAAATTCAAAACGAGTCCATTGCAAATGGAATTTCCCGATGTAGGACAGGGCAAAATAAAGGAGATTTAGATTGTCAAATAGGCTACTTAGGCTGTTCCGCCTTAGGCTAAATAGGCTATTCCACTTGTTTTCAATTTTCTGTATAAATGATCCTATTCTTTTCTCATGGATCAAGTCAAACTTGATACTTTTTTATTCTAGATGTTTGTGGCAAATCACTGTCTAATTCTTGTTTATGTCTCAAATTCTTCACTCCATTGGAAAAGGTTTTCTTTGATAGTGTGTCAAAGCTTATTGAAGTACTTGACATTAACTACTATATTAAACATAAAATATTACAACCTAAAGTTGTCTCACTCTAGTTTATGTGACTGTTTTCTTTTGTCTGGGAATTTTACAGACATGTTGTAAGGCAGCTGCAGTTGGAAACCTGCTGCTGTGTCTTGGAAGCCAGCTGAAGTATCATTCTTTGTCTGTGCTTTCAAACTACTATTTGGCTGAAGACAGAGTAGTGATTCTTCAAGTCTGATATGGCAGAGTATGCTGATGAGGAACTGTTTTAACTGAGGGGGTTTATTTAATCAGTCTTGTTAAAATATTTTGACTGTTTAAGCTGGTCTGACATATCTCTGCAGAGCCAGGTCTCATTTCAATCTTGTTGAAAGGCAGTTTGTAGGCTATTTTCTTTTAAGACTGATGTTTTGGCCACAGACAAAAAGGTATCTACTTCTTTCTTCTGAGATTTTGTTGATTTGTTATAAACTGAATAGCAATAGCTGGGTACTTTGGATTAGCAAAAGGAAGCTCTCAAATGTGGTACTTCTAAAGTAGAATAGCATATTGCCTGGTAGAGGGAACACAATAACCAAGACTAATCTGTATAGACCATGTGTTTTCACCCTGCTTTTGTGGTTGACTTTGGGGAGTTGGGTACCTATAGCTCCTGCAATGATCAGATTAGGCTCTAAGTATACTAATGCCTTCGTGGTTGCACGTGCTCACCACCGCCTAAACTGGTATTAAGGAGGCCATGATTCGGACCCATAGTCTTGGGGTAAAACACTCAGGATTGAGGTGACTATAAGCATGTGTTACAAAAGGGAAGACCCTACCCCCAGTCCCCAGCTTCATGAGCTGGACCAAGTCATGCACTTCATGCTGGTCCATTCCTACTTAAATGCAAGCAAGGAATGAATGTGGCAGGCAGCATGTGGCTCAAATAAAGAAAAATCTACTAACCCTAACAAAAGTTGAGATTTGTTGCTGAACACTTTGTTCCTCTATTCCTTTCCTGGTATAGTGATTCCTGAATCTTGAATGCTCTGTTTGTAATATAAATGGAAATCAGTAGTTTGACAACAGGCTTTATATGCATAATATAGTTTCCTATGGATAAAGGTTTAAATTATGTAATAGAGCTTACTTAATATTATTTACTCCTTGGCCTCATTAGGAAAGGATGGAAACTGTACTATCCTCACAAGTTGCAGACTCTTAGACACTTTGATCACTGTTCTGATTGCCATTTGCATTGACAGCTGCTGTACTGAAAAGGAAGGGAAATGTGAAACCTGGGGGCCGTGTGTGATACGGTATCATGGTGCAGAACAGCATGAATCTGCGTTGTGTGCCATTACCAGACAGTAAATCAGCTGTGCTGTGCTAGAACCAGAAGCCAGTAGCTTTCACACTTGCTGCCTGTTTCCCACTCATTGTAAAGCCCTGCCCTATCACTTGATAGACTTGGAAAGGAAGCGCAGAGGAAGCGAGTGCCACTGCTGGTTCAAAATGTTCCAGGGCAACTGGAAAGTTTGAGCAATGGCTTGGGTGAGAAGAACAAGACCTTATTGACAGGGTTCAATCTTAGTCAAGTCTGTTTCCCATCACTTTCCTAAGTAATCACAGCCTTTCTTTTTTCATCTCCTTTGCAGTCTCTGGGTCTCCCGCTTTCACCTCCTTTTTATTTTATATATTTATTGATTTTAGTGGACAGAGCAACCAAGGAGAATGGGGAAGTTTACTTCCCTCTGATCCATCTCTGCCAAATCCTGGAGGAATTACTAATGAAAAAGATGGCAACTACATTAAAGGTAGCTGTCATACCCACCTTTGCCCCCATGTTTCTGCAGAGTTTCCATTGTGTATTCTTTGAATTTCTCCTTTTGATAGGGCGATGTTCTTTTCATTTGATGTACAGATATACATACTGTTGCAGTGATGCTATGGCACATGTGGTTTGTCATGTTACAGATGAACTGGTGTCATAGATTGATGGCTGTTGGGTTATGGCACTGTAAAATTATGTGGACACACACATATGTATGTGTAATGGGAGAAGTATGCAAGCTGAGATTTTGTTGGATTGGAGTTCTTTTAGGCTATGTAAGACTTCATGAAACATTTATAGTATAAAGTCACTAATTTTTTTCTAATGCTGCAGTTTTAAATGTACAGCAACATGCCCCCTGTACACTGCACCGTGCTGTTTTGCATAGACTTATGCATGATTTTGCCATAGGAACCAGTCTCCACTAGCAGTCCTGCTGTTCTAGGGCCTCCTAGTGCATCTCAAATTTCTTCCTACAGTATGTTATTCTCCTTAGGCTGTCTATAAGACAAGAAAAGCTCATTTAATCTGAGGTGAGAGAGGTTTTTCTCTGGGAAAAAAACATGCTTTTAAAAAAGAAGACCAAAGGGATGTCTGTCTAGTTTTGCATTTAAATGTTTCTTGCCACAATCACAGCAGAACAGATCCACAAAATAGAGTTAAAACATGTAAGCATAGGTGGCATCTCATGTTTTTATGGTCTTTCTGTAGCAAGTCAGTTGACTCTGGTGGAATACTCTTGCATATTAAAGGAACAACCAATTCAAAAGGTCAGACTCTTTGGGCATGGGTAATATTCACTGAACTGTCTAATGAGCAGTCTTCTGGAGGGGTAAACTTTGCTGGGTTTGTGATAGCATGTACGTATTTATAAGGATAATATGACTTATTGTATTTGGTAATCCTGGCAATAGTGATGCCAGGAAAATAATCTTATTTCAGGAAAACATGCGCTAGCATGTGTTTTGAAGTATTTGCTTTTTGGGAGTTTAATAATTTAAGTTTGACAAGGATTTAAAAGGGGGAAAAAAAAAAAAAAAAAAAGGAAAAAACCAAACCAAAACAAACCAGACTTTCAACCCTCAAACAAACCAAACTCTCAACCCTCAATGATATATAAAATGTGAAAATGGCTTGTGTTCTGTAGTATAAATATAGGGTGTGTTAAGAATGTTTTTGAAAACTCAGTTGGTCAGACGGGCAAAATTATTGGTGCCTTCAGAAGGCTCATGGAAGAAGCGCGTGTGAAAGGGAGACGCAAGTGTGACACGGTGCTACAGAGGCATGTTGGTTTGCAGAGGATGCCAAGCTTGCACCAATTTTTCTAGAATGTTTTTCCTTCCCTGTCTCCAAAATAGTTCAAATTCAATAACTGTGGTTAGGATATTTTGGAAAGATGTCCCCAGGCACTTTATGATGGAACTTGGGAAGAGATTCAAGAGACAGGAGTTCTCAACCAGCATTTGTAAGCAAATTATCTTAAAATATACTGCTTCTTAATCTAAAATTAACTGAAAAGCATCTATAGTATTTTTAGGTCAGTGTGTGAATCTGCAGAAATCAAAGTATATGCTTGTTACCCCGTCAACTCTCTGCAGTTTTTTTTTTTCTTCCCTTTTTTGAGACCTTAAGCAGTCCAAATCTCTCAGGCCCGTTCACTGTGTTTCTAACATTTTCCTATATCTTACTCTTCTCAGGATGGATCGTACTTGGCTGAGTTTCTGCTGGAAAAAAGCTATGAGGTGAGTGACTCGGTGACCGGCTGCGGGCTGATAGAGTCGTTTGGATGCTGCAGCTCTGGCTTCCTCTGCTTCTGTCCTTCTTTGTGTATGTTTTCCACTCCAACCCTAGATAACAAATCAAAACTCCGCAGAGGAATGTGCAACATGGCCTGTAATCATGCCAGCTTATTGTACTATTTATCATCGAATGTCCACTGGTGGATTCCCTCTTCTCCTCAGGGTATAGCTGCTTTGCATGTTTCCCACCAACTCAGATAAGCAGAGACCTGTGTGAGCCAAAACTGTAAAGAATTAGGGAATAATTTATGATGCAATGTACTACATAAAGGAATAAGAATCTCTTGTTTGTTCTTTTACCCCTGCTCTGTCTCCACACTAAAGGCCCTCTTATTTTGGCAGTTATATTTCAGCAATGAAAACCTTGCATTTTGCTTTTTGTTTTAAAAGAAAAAAAAAATCTACTCCTCCCGCCCCCTGAAAAAAAACCCGCAAAAACGAACAAAACCAAACCAAACAACCCACAAAAATATACTTTGATAGTCTTACTTTCCACCCCTTCTCTTGGATTAACTATATTCTTGCTTTGTACATGATTTTCATTTACTTTTTCCCTAAAATAAAGGGAGTCTAATTCTGTACTTCTTGCTGCATAATTTTCCCTGGGCAAAATCATCTTTCTTGTGGCCCAGCAAAGCAACAATCACACTATTATGATATGATTTGGTGGTTTTGAACTGTTGTGGGCATATATGTGAGAGTTTTTGCTTTCTCAGTCATGAAAGATGCTTCCAAAATGTATGATAATGGAAAGAAAGGGGTAGCCAGATTAATATCCCCACAATGTAGTATTTTCTGGGTTTTCAGTAAAAGCTAATGCTCCTTCTAATATTGGATTTTATTACTTCTGCTGTAATACTGCTTTATAGCTTAATGAAAAGTGTCTTCTCAGCCAGTCTGTGTTTTCCATGCTTTTCCATCTGGTTAATCTTGCCTTGCTTGTTCCATCCTTTCTTCTGCTTTGTTGATTGATCTGCTTATTGGTGTTGGTTTTTCAGTGTTGTAAACTGATTATTTTTACTATTGCTCCATTCCATTTGGGGAAGAGATACCATTGTGATGGCTTCTGCTACTTTAAAGGCAAAAGCACATGCCCTCTTCCAGTCCCCAGTGAAATTTGGAACTGCTAACTGCAACTAAAATGAAATATAACCCTTTCCACAATGGAAGGGTGACAATAATTGGGTAGAGAGTTAAGTCTTTCTTCTGTTCCTCAACTCTCCAGCTATTTGTTGGATTTCTTTCCTGTGTTCCCAGTTAGAGAACTCTGTTCCAGAATAACTGAACACAACAGTTAGTGATAACTGATTGCCTCCCTAACTAAGGGGGTTCATTTGACTTTTTTTTTTTTCTAATTTCAATCTATTTAAAGATCAAGCTCTCTTGAGAAAAATCCACTGATCTTACATTCTCATCTAGATTAACCAGTTTGCACACATTTTGACTTGTCACAAAGTTTGCATTTCACCTGTCCCATGCAGACAAAGGTACCTTTCATCAGTTTTTTTACAGTAATATTGCTGTCATGGATTAAGCATTTGGCATATTTTCTTTCTCTTGTGTGTGCATACCAGAAAAAGGAGTGGGAGGAAAAAAAGAAAAGAAAAAAAAAAAAGCTGGGTTTGCATGTTTGCTTGTTATCGCTGGATGCAACAGGCTCTCTGGATTTGTTTGTTTGCTGAAACTTTTTGAAGTTCTGGGGTGGGTGACTGCATTTAGCACATCTCATTGGTCAAATGTTGGTGTCACAGTCATTCAGCTGGCATAAAGGTCTTGCAAGCACAATCTTTCATCAAGCCTTGAGCTGGCAAGATTTTACTTTTATTGGTCAGTCATTTGCATGAACTTGAATTTCAGCATGATTTCATTCAGAGACAGATAATTGAGAGCTCAAGAAGTCTCTCATCAGGACTTTAAGCCAAAATATTTAATTTTGCCTGAAGTGTTGTAGTGCACTTCAGTTAGCTTTCTTTAGAATAATTTGATGCTTTAAATCTGCAAAGTCTGATTTTTTTTTTTCCTCAGGAAAACAGATGTTCATTTGAGTACTCAAACTATTTCCAGCATCTTTTGCAAAAGTGAAGGTATTATGGAGGTGTATTTTTTTTAAAGTGTAAGCCTTATGTCCCTGTAAATTATCCACATATTCTATAAATAAGTATTTTGATAAGGCTTTTAACTGCATAACTGTGAAAATTTGTCTTCATAAATTATTTGATGGAAATTTCTTTTGGGGGGGCCATGTTTCTCAGTTCCCCATTGATCCTCAAAATGCCCATATTTTACTCAGTTGTGGGAAGTTTAGCTTTTGAATTGTAGAACAAGGTATGTTGTGAGCCTGTTGTGTGGCTGGGCACACAAGGGATTTTATGCAAGGAAATTAGCATCATAAATTTGACTTGCAAGTAGTAAAGATGAAGCTATTCAGCTATTATTAGAGATCTTGCTGCCAAAATGTCATTCTTAAAGCAGCAAGCTGGTCTCACTCTGTGGTTGTGCATACTTTTTTACTCAGTTAAGTTTCAGACTCAGATGGAATAAAAAGGGTTTTCAGTGTCAATAACCATAGCTTGTGTTATGTGTAAAACAAAAATCCCCAAACTAGAACAGAACCCCAAAGACTTCCTGTTCTTGCTGGTATATTCTTGCAGGTACAAGTTAACATGAAGTGAGAGAGCAAAGCAATGGCCCAACCCAACCAAGTGTGTAGGATGCATCAAAGTGTAAGGGATCACTTTCAGACATAAAGGGTAGGGAGAAGTGGAGGGCAGTCATATGCTGAAACTTCATTTCACTGGTGCAAGCACAACTTTTGCAACTGGCAGCCTAAGCTAACGTGAATTTTGGCAGCAGGCATGGAGCTATCTTACATAAGGAGGAAACAGGGTCAATGTTTGAACAATTTCTCTAATGTATTTAGACACAAACAGGCTTTTCTTTAATATTAGTCAGAACCTGTGGGTTTTTTTCATCAACTTATTTATCGTAGCTGGTTAAAGGAAATTCCCAACCTGGGTTTCAGCCTTAGGCTTGCCTGTGTGTTTGGTAACCCACTGGAGAACACTGACTCATGAGGTCCACAAAACAGCCCTGTCCTGACTGTTCTTCCAGCACTCCAGACAGTGAATAACAGCTGTTTTTTAAAATATATTTGGTGCTTGCAGTTGCTGCCTCTTCTTTCTCCTTGTCTTTTTCTTCCCTTCTCTCCTCTCTGCCTCCTCTCTCCTTTCTGTAACCCCGTTTTCTGCTGCTGCTTTTTCCATGCTCATTATCTCTGGCTCCAGAAAGACATCTCTGCAACCAGGGAGGAGTGGTTATCTTGGGGTTCATGTATTGCTTCTTCAACTGCAATAACTTTGGCCAGTCTCGCTCACTAGGAGATGGTGCTCTGAGGCAATTCAGTGTGTCTTCTGTACTGTGTGATGCTTGAGCTGCTAGTGCTGTCAACAAGGGAGGAGGTGAAACCACTCAAGGGTACTAAAATAAATACAACAGTATTGGAGCTCATCTCCAAGTATTTTGTTATGATTTGGATAACTGTCTGCCTATAGGAATAGAGACAAGCTCTAATTGCCTGATACAAGGGTTAGGCCCATGTAGATGAAAAGAGCAATGATAAACACCTTCCTCTTAGTGTTTACCACTTTCCTTGTATTTTTTCTTGTTCAATCCCCAGGTGCATGGCATTGTTCGTCGGTCTAGTTCTTTTAATACAGGCCGGATCGAACATCTCTATAAGAACCCACAGGCTCACATTGAAGGAAGTAAGACTTTGTTTTCATATTTTAGGTTTTTTGTTTGTTTGTTCTTGGGGGTTTTTTGGGGTGGTATTTTCTTAGTTCATGATGTGTCTGTGGTGTGCGTTTGGTGGAGAAAGGTCCCTGGGAGCAGGAAGTTTCCTCTACCTAAACGTTATTAAGAAGTAGTTATTTTAAGCTGTGCTTGACTTAAGATTGATTATTTAAAACAAAAATCAACCAAACAAAAAATCTTGATAGCTAAGCTTCCCTTTTCTCTGCTTGTGTTAGCTAGCTGCTCTATCTCAGAAAGGAAAGTGATGATTTTTCTCTGATGAAAATGTGATACAAAGTTGTCCTGGTTTTTAGCTGGACCAGTGAAGCTATCACAAAATTATAGATACTCTTGTGTGTGTGAGTTACCAAGAGAGGAAAATATGAGAGAGGCCCAGGAAGGCACTTTCTGTTGTGTAGAAATGCTGACAGAGTTCACACAGAGCTGGGCAATAACAACTGGAAGATGCCTGGGTCTGCAAAAAGCTGTATGAGTTTGAGAACACAGATATAAAAATAGTGAAATGTTTTTTTTTTTTTTCCTGAGGCAGTTTTTTTAAGCACTCCACTTACATTTCCTCATGAGCTTCTTGGTGCCTGATGGAGGTAAAGGTTTGGGGACAGCCTGTGTGACAGCATGAATAAGACATGATCAATTCTTACTGCTGACAGGAAGAGTGAATCTTTAGACCTTCCAAGTTTCTGCACCCAAGGAAATGATTACCTGTTTTTCCTGAAGGGAGAGGCATTGCTCTTGGAAATTTGCTGACAACTTACTGTATTCTGTGTTGCCAGTGATAATTTGAAAAGCTGAAATTATTACCTTTAGTGTACACGTTGCAAAAATTCTTTGAGTATTTTACCATAAATAAGGTTAACTGGTCACTTAATGAGAAGAAGCTCAAATGTTGGATGGCTCCAGTTCAGCAGAAGGATTGAGCATTTTAACAAGCCTATAGTTCTCTACACTATACATATTCTGTAAAGTTGTACAGACTGACACTATCCTAAATAGTCCTTTTTCAGGTATAGTTAACACTAAATATCTCCATGCTGTAAATAAATGCCATGTATTTTGAAGTCTGCTTCCCACCATGGTAAACAGAGCCTAATTTTATCAAATTGTATTATATATATATATAATGCAACTTTTAGATTTCACATGATCTTTGCTTGTAATTTTTAAAAATTATTTAATTTCTGACGTAACTTCAGTGATATTTGCTGTGAATTGTTGCTACTTACTCTACATTGCTCCTTAAAACACCTTACTGAGAGAGGGATAAAATTGAATAAAATATCTTCATGAAGAATACGAAATCTGTGCTTCCATCAAGGACAATGCAAGAGCTGTTTCCCATAACTTACATTTGTGGCTCACAAGGTAAAATGAAGCAAAAGAAATCAAACAATAACCTGCGTGTTGTGAGGATCATCTTGTGAATATGAAAAGTGATTTGAGAAGACAATGTAGATCATGAGATATATATGTACACAGAAACATTTAGGGAAAGGAATGGAAGAAAGGAAAAAGAAAGCAGACCTTAAATGTTTTTCCTCACTTCTTATCTCATTTTCCTTTAACTGAGGAATGCAGCCATATGAATGGGAGGAGGAGGAGGAGAAGGAATTGGACTTGGAATCTCAGGAAAGGCTGCTCCATGGAAACTGTTTGGAAACAATGAGTTTCCAGGCAGTACTTGAGGAAGCAAAGAAGCAATAGTGGTTGATGTGAGCAAACCCTAATTTTGTGTTTGCCCTATGTGTTCTTCCCATGAGGAATTGATTACATGATACAAGATAGACAGTGAACCTCTTTACACAAAAAAAGTAGGGAAAATAAGAAGGCAAACAAGGTTTTTCCTGAAGCCAGCCCTCCAGCTATTGATTGCTAAGGAGGTTTTTAGATTAGATGATATTACTAAAACCCAAATGTTTTGACACTTGATCTGTTTTTATAAATCTTTGCACCAAAAAACCCCATTTCTACTAAGTCTTTCTATGTAGACTCTTACTCTTGAAAGACCTCTTTTTCATGGGTCAGAAAATGAACAAAGCCTCATGCTCTACTCTGCTTCAAAAAAGCTATTTGGACAAGAAGCTTTGGAGACTTGATGATAGACCATAATGGACATTCACCTTTGAGAGCTTTAAGTGGAAGGTAATCGTGGGAGGTTATCTCTGATGTTTGGCTCAGCCCAGTTGGCAGCATGTCTTCCTCTGGGGAGCTCTGAGACTTCTCTCTAGCCTGGGGATGATGGCAGAACTGGATGTCTTTGTAACAAGAGGGAGCCTGGCTGTGGCACCTCTTTCTTGCTCAGCTGCTGCTTTGGCTGGAGAGGAACCAGTTGCTCTTTCAGCCTCTAAGACTCCTACAGAGCTGCTGCTGCTCCCTGAGCCTCTTTTAACAGTGTCCTCTGCTCCATCCTCTTTGAAAGGCTGGCTCAGCTGGCAAGGAGTTTTCATTTAACTCCCAGCTAAGGTAAGCAAGGGAAGAAGAGGGAACTGCCCCTCTTGCCTAGGGGAAGTTTTTTTTATCTGGTACAGGAAGGGTAGTACATTTGTGTTCTTCCCTGCTCCCAACAGCCTAGTTGTCCTGAAAAAAGGTGGTAACTGCCATCAGAGAAATTGGTTAGGTGGTACTTGCTCTTGGTCTCTAGTCTTGCAAGAAAAATGCAGCAGTTGTTAAGATGGTCTGGGCACCAACAGTTTTGAGAGTTGCAAGTTCACACCAATATCCAAATAGTTTTATCCTATAAACACTTGGGATCTTGTACATGCTGTGGCTCACAGGCAGAACTTATTTCATGTACTGAATTTCAGTTGGGAAGCAGGACAGCCGCATTCCATACAAGCGGAAACTTGGTGATGTTCCAGCACAGCATCTATAGAACTGGTGACAGGAATGAAGGCAGCTCACACTGTAGATAATTGATGTGCATTCACAAAAAGGATCATAACCTACTTGCCAACCCTCATTTAATCACAGTTATCTTTCTTTAAAAAACAAAAAAAAAAGAAAAGTTGCATTACCATTCACTTACCTGTTAGCCACAGCTTCAGCTGGGTTGTAAAGTCTCTTCAGAACTGTCCTTGGGGACATGCTTTAGTGGTGAACTTGGCAATGCTAGATTTATGGTTGGACTAGACTGTAATGGTCTTTTCCAACTAAACTATTCTATGATTCTGTGATTCAAGCAATGTGGATGTAAAAGCCATTTCAAGAATATACTGTGTCCTGCTGGGCTGCATCATTTTATCAACCTGAAGAGCCTCAAAGTACCTGTTAAATAGGAATGTACAAAGCTGAAGACCTGAGGACTGTGTGATCTGTTACTTCCTTGATAACTTAAACTATTAAAAACAAGACAAAAACAGCAACAAAAAACCACAAAGAAAACCCAAACCCATAAAAAAAAAAAAACCAAAAAAACCCCCCTTCCCCCCCCCCCCCCCAAAAAAAAAAAACCAAAACAGCTTAAAAAAAAACAAAGTTCACATATCTCTACAGCTTTTTAAAAAAAATCTACTGTGGATTCATGTAGTAGTCTCTTATAATAAATCTTGTATTTCTTGGTTTCAGGATTGAAAAAAAAAAAAAAAAAAATCAAGTTGACCATATCTATACATATCTATACCATATCTATACAGCCCCCCAAAATGGTGACCATGGTCAAATGGGAAGACTGCTAAACTGTACTGAAATAGGAATTTCTTCTTTTTCCTGGAGATAGGGCAATGTAAACAAATTTATTAAGGTCAAAAACATAAAAAGAAAATCTATATAAATATTGCAATTAAATGTAAACAGGTAGTTCATCAATAGTTATAATACGATTTTTTTTTTTCTTTTTTGAATAGATACGTGAATAACACTGTGGTGGTGTGATTTTTTCTTTTTTTTTAATAAGAAGAAAATGAGACCTTTTATCAGAACTAATTTCACTTCTAGAATAATTTCTTGACAGGTCATGTCTGGAACCAAGGCCAGGTTGAGAAGCCCTTGCAACCTGCACTTTTAATTTTGCCAAGAGCTAGTCTCATGCTCTTACTTTTTCACAAACAAATTAGAAAGTAACTCAGTTGGAAAAGGATAAGTAACAGCTGTGTGACTGACACATTTGACCACATTTGAGATTTTGATGTGTATATTTCATTGACTGTTACAATGTTCTCTGAAATTCCTTTCCAGTGTGTATCTGTATTTTAGGTGGATAAACAATAGGAATAAATGCAGTGGTTTGTACTGTAATGTTACCTAAATGTTCATCTGGTATGTAACTTAGGCATTTTTGTTTTGTGAAATCGTTCGCAGTGAGGAACTTAAACATGTGCAATATTTTGGGAAGGAGCCCAAACTAAAATAATGCATTCTTTTTTTTGTGGCTGATATTCTGTATATGGCAATAATCTAATTCATAGAACCTGAGTTAATGAAGTGTGAACTATTAAACAAATTATATAAATGTTGCTAGGTAAATCAGATTATTGAAAAGAGAATCTGAAATAGTATTCATTACTTCTGCAGGTATATACATTTTGTGCTTAAAGCAGGGGAAAAAAATCCAAGCAAAACTTTGTTAAGACGATGATCTCTTAAGTTTTTCCAATAAATGTTTACTTGGATTTTAAACCTGGAATAGGATTTGGACCAAGAATACCATGTAGTTCAGGGACAAAATGTATTAACTGTGTTCTTAAACTCTGAAGACATGAAGCTGCACTATGGTGATCTCACGGACAGCACCTGCCTGGTGAAGATCATTAATGAAGTCAAACCCACGGAGATATACAACCTGGGAGCTCAGAGCCATGTCAAGGTGAGTAGCTTCTAGCACTGAGAGTTGTGAATGTGCATTGGTGGTGGTATACTGCTCGGATTATTTTAGACTGCAGCATTTATAGCCTTTTTAACAACTGCTAACTTAAAAACTGCCTTAAATCAAGATGAGTTTGCTGCAGCACTGAATTACTGCACAAATCTTACTATTGAATATATATATTTGGATGTCAGAATAAGTGTGGTTAAATTGTCATTATCAACAAAATCTATAGGTTTAAAAATCTGATTTTTTTTTTTTACCATGTGAGTTTACTGCTTATCAGTCCTAGTGGAGAAATTATGCAGTGTTGTAAGGCCAAAGGGTGCTTAGAACCACGTTATTCCATTTGCTAAAATCAATGCATGTATCTGACTGCATTACTTCTAGAAAGGCTTCACCTGTACTAATAATCTTTGAAAGACTGACCTACAAACAGAGAAATCAGCTTTGCTACTGCTTGCAGTATGATAACATTCCTGGGTTTTTTTGGTTGGGAAAATCAAGTTATAGAAACTGAAACAAAAGAGACATGTTGAACATGAATAACTTCACCATGGCAAGTACTGCTGCATCATAAGGAAAGAAAATGAATAGTAGAGAGGAAAACTTTAATTTACATTTTACATATGTTAAGCTACGTTGTTGTATCATGGAAAAGCTCAGTTTGCTAACAAGCGACCTCTATTTACTTGCAAAAACCTCATTCATATTTTTCATGATTACAAACTGAAACTGATGGCCGGGTAGCATATTGTCATTAAAATAAATTGTGTGTCAGTCATATGTCCTGTCCTTGTTGTGTGCAGTGTGAAAGTATTCTTAAGTGGTAATATTCCCTGGCCTCTTTAAGGTGAGAACTGGAGGAGGGAGCATTTAAGCCTCATGAAAATAATTTTGACTTCAGTTTTGTAAGTCAGCCTTCCTACAAAAAAACTTTTGTATTGTTCCTATCACTCTGTAAGCCTTGAAATGCAGCAAGAGGAAATAATGTTGAAAGACTGCCATTACTGACAAGACAAAGAGCAAAACAGAGAAATGAAATGAGAATAATTTTGCTTTTAAATTGCTTGCATAATTGGATCATACAGTTTGCTCTGTGCTAAAGATAAGTCTGGTTGAGTTTATTAGCTCAGGTACAGTAGTATAAGAACAAGGCTACATGAGTCCAAGGGCAGCTTTAGTCCAGAAGACAATTTAACTGCTGCTTTGCAGAGTGAAACCTGAGCCAGCAAACCTTTCTGGGCATTTGCAGTCCACAGCTTGGTGTTCCAGCATTTCTTTTCGTGAACTAGTGCATTGGATAACAGTCTCCCTGGAGATTACATGTGTCCCTTAAGTAGTGTTAACATGGTACTAATCTTCTAGTCCCAGACTATCTCCACGTGGCTGTTGCAGCTGCCAACAGCTCAAGTCACAGCACTGGGAGTGTATGAAGGGATGGCGGTGGTGATGCTGCATGACACTACCATGGGCAGTGGTAGTCCAACTGTGCTTACCATTTTTAAAACAATTCCCAATGTTAGAAGAGGGAGTTGAACTTGGTCAGCTGTTAGGGGTGAATGTCTTCACCAGAGACCTGAAGAGCTCTTAGAATTAGACTTTGGTTATGTAAACTTACTGATTTTGCCTGTGTGCATCATATTTGGGGAAGGAGGGAAGAGAACTCCTAATCTTAGCTTGCTTCACGTTCTGGTGACTTTGAACCAATGACGTCTTCAGTATTTTTTGGTGGTGTTTATGTTGGCTTATATTTATGCAGAATAAAGTTTTCTATCACTCTCACTTCCAGTTAGTTTATGTGAGCCATGCTGAAATAAAGGAAAATAAAATAATAGGAAGTTGGTCTGGTTTCCTGTAGGAAACCAATGAAGATGAAATTGGTTCTTGGAATGAACCCACAGTAGTCTGGGAAATACTGTCAGAGAAGACATTTTTCTGAATCATAAATGGTGAGGACTATGACTCACAAAGTAGGTCACTGAGAGGCTGATCTGATCTTGTACATGGGAGAAAGTGAGAGAAGACTGGAACTCACTCCTTATTAAAAACAGTAAACTTAACAGAATGATATCATCAGTAGGAACAAATTATCCAGTGTGCATTCCTGTCTGTTTTGGTGAGAAATGGGGATTAGCTCTCTGCACTGTAGCTTCTCCACTGGATGTTCAGAAAACAGTAGCACATTCACTTCATAATTACTAAATAAACAGTTTAGCCTCATGTTCTCTATCCAGTCTTTATATGCCCTGCTGCTTTGGTTGTTGGTGCTTTGGGAATCTGGTGTGCTGACCATGATTTATTTCCATTTAATTAGGTTTCATGGGAGTTATTGTTTTCAATATATTGATTTGAAATAGTATTTTTTTTATCGTATATAGGTAGCATGCAGATGGCTTAATCTAAATTCTGTTCTACATAACTCTATACTCGTATCCCTCTGTTGAATGTCTTGAAAATCAATTATCCAAATACTAGGTTGGCTAAAATGATATAAATGTCTTTTCTTGCACAGTGTTTGAGTAGATGCACACACATAGATAGATACGAACTTTTAAATGTTTTTTTTCTGAAAGTCAAATGATCTCATCAGTAATTGACTGTGCTATAAGGTTTTTTTTTTTGTTTTGAGTTATATTGAACTGATGAAGCTGGTAAATATATATATATATTTTTTTTTTTTTACAATTTTCTGAAGTAAAAAGGCAGTGTAACTTTTACAAAAGATCTCTTGCTTTCAGCACTTGTAACTTGTTGCACTGAGCAGTTAGGACTGAAGAAATGGGTCCAGTTTTATGGCTGTTATCCTAGTAGTCAAGTATTAGACTAGTTTGATTTGGCAGTAGTGCTGATAGCCACAATTGCTCAGTTTATTTCTTTAAATTGTATTGGGTAGTAGAAGGTTATTTTGCCTACATACTGTTGGCATTTTTTGTCAGAAACTTTGTAGCAAATGTGTTTTATGAGATACAAAAATAATGGGTTGATTTTTCTATGTTAACGCTTCCTTACATATGCAACCTGGATGTATTATTAAAGAGTAAAACCTTGCTTGCCTGTAACTACATTTGAATAAGCCAATAAATGCTCAGTTTGGTTTTGTATTGGGGATTTTGTTTTTTGGGGGTTTTGTTTTGTTGGGTTTTTTTGTTGTTTTTTTTTAAACTTGCAAGATGCATACAGGTTTTTTGTTGTTGTTGTTCGTTAGTTTAGGGGATATTGAGGTTCTATTTCGTTTTAACTCCTTGCAGACATACGGGTGCTTGGAGTCACACAGGAATTAATTTTAAGAAGCAAATCCTACCACTGTTAGCTGAAAAGTGAAATGTAAAAATCGAGGTGCTTTTATCATATAACCCCTCACTTAAGTAAAGCTCTCTTTACACTTGTCTGTTGAATTCAGCTTTATCTCTAGCTCCTCTATTTTACCTTCTATGTTTTTGTGCTCTCTAAAGAGAAGAGACTCAGTCTTGGGAGCCCTTTAGTCTCCTCTTTCCCGAGGCTGGCAAAATGAAAGATCTTGCCCATTTCTGATTCTTTTGAGTTTTTATCTGCATCAAATACTGACCCATAATTGCTGTGAACCAAACATGTTATGAGCTGCTAATTGATTTCAGCCCCATGCCTGTTAATGTGACTGTCTGTTTTCATGCTTCATGGAGGGTGAAGTAGCAGCAGGGAAGATGAAGAAACAAACAAAAAAAAAAAAATAGCAAGGAGGTCTTCAGAGCCCATGGAAGTGAATTCCAACTTATGTAAAAACCTGTCCTCACCTGTGTGTCTGCTGCATCTTGAAGTTATTGCTTGTATGCTGGGTGGTGGGGAAGTGGGATTGCTGCAGGGAGGGGAAACGTGAAGTACACAAGCAGAAGTTTAAATCATATAATTTTATGGCATGACAGAATGGTTGAAGGTCAGAAGGGACCTCTGGAAACTGTCTAGTCCAACCCCCTTACTCAAAGCAGAGTCAGCTAGAGCTGGTTGCAGAGGACCTTGTCCAGTCAAGCTTTAAGTAGGATGGAGGCTCCACAACCTCTCTGATCAACGTGTTCCCTCATCTGTGCAGTTCCATCACCCTCACAGTAAAAAAATAACACCCACCACCACAAACTTTTTCATATTTTTAAATGGTATTTCCTGTATTTCAATTTGTGCCCGTTGCCTCACCTCCCAGTTTTGTATCATCTGCAGACCTGCTGAGGATGCACTCTGTCCCATTGTCAAGGTCCTTGTGTACCCCCAGGGTACGCAATTAGCGCAATTAGTAACAGAACTCCAGCTGGACTCTGCCACTGATCACAATGCTCTGAGTCCAGCAGTTCAGCCAGTTTTCAGTCCACTTCACCCTCCACTTATCTAGCCTACTCTTTCTTCGTTCACCAACCCAGACCCATTGTAGAAGTCTATAAGGTTGATCAGGCGTTATTTCATCTTCACAGATCTATGCCTTGCTTCTCACAATCACCTTGTCCTTCATATGTTTGGAAATGGTTTCCCAGTTTAGTTGCCCCATCATGTTCCTAGGGATCAAGGTGAGGCTGAGCAGCCTGTAGTTCCCTGGATCCTCCTTCTTGAAGGTAGCAGTGACATCTCCTTTCTTCTAGTTGTCAGGGGCCTTCCCTGATTGCCATGACGTCTCTAGAGTGGCTTTGCAATTGCATCAACCAACTCCTTCAGCACTCATGGATGCATCACACCAGGTCTCATGTTGTGTGTACAGTTTGTATAAATATTCCCCTCATCATCTTCTACCACAGGTAAGTTTACATTGCTCCAGACTTTCTTATGGGTCTCAGGCACCTATGATTTCTTAATGTCAGCCTTACTAGTGAAGACAGAGGTGAAGAGGATGTGGGATATCTCAACCTTTTCAGTGTCCTTTGTCACCAGGTTGCCTGCCCTGTTCAGCAGCAGGCTCATATTTTCACTGATCATCTTTTTGCTGCTGACAGACCTGTTAAAAGGTCTTGTTGCCTTTCATGTCCCTCACCACATTCAAA